TCGAGACAGTGATGTGTTATATGTTATATGTAGGAAATTCCTATGCACTCAGTTTAAAATTATGAAATTTTCTCATTGAGCATTCATTCATGATACAGTGTTAACTTAAGGGTATCACTAGGGGTGTGGAGCCAACACCGTACTTCTCGTGTAGATGTGGTAGGTTCAGTAACCCCTCGCTTGGATACCCCAAGGTATGCAGGGCGATTGAAGAATAGCAGGAACTATAAGAAAGGGGTGTGGTCAATCGCAACAAATTTAGGATCTTCAGTGTGATAACTTTATTAATATGTCTACCGATTTCACGCGAACATTTCGGCTCCTTCAGGACAAATTGTGGTTTACATTTTACCCCTTAAGTAATATAAATGTGGTAATCTTTTGCATCATTCATTATGATGTTATACAATATTAGTCATATGACCGGAGCTAAGAACAGTAACTCAAAGAGTTACATAACATTTTCTATTATTGAACGGTACAGTTACTGGTATTGAACTGGTGGGATCGTCTATATCCACCTATATGTTCATGCAAAATCGGTAGATGTATTAAGTTATCACACTGAAAATCCTAAGTTTGTTGCGATTGACCACACCCCCTAACTTAAGGGTAGATACATTTATCAATGAATATTCATTCATGATACAGAACTGTTTGTAACTTTCAGATACATAGATTTATCAATGAACATTCATTCCTGACATAGATTTTTTTTTTATAATGAATTTTTAGGTAATTCATAAGTATATGTTTGATTTTAAACTGAATCTTAGATCATGTTTTGATTAGCAGTGATAAAAGTTATCATGTACACACTTTTATCACAAAATTGGCCTGTAAGCTGATTAGTTATCAATACAGCTAAGTCATAGATATTCAGGTAGAAAATAGATGTATATGTGATAACATTTGCTAATGTGATGTCACAAATTGCTTTTGTAGTAAATTCTAAAATTAATATATCTTATCCTGTTTAATGGAAATTTTTGATGATTTAACTTTTTTTCTCATGAATTTGTGATAAAAAGAATCTTATACTTGTTTCAGTGTATTATAGAACTGGTCAAATTGTTTTATACGCTGCTTGCCAAAACACTCTTGGTATGTGATCATGACTAATCTTGTTTGAATAATATCTGTTTTGTATTTAACACTGACGTAAGATCCTCAATTAGACATAGCTTAACTGGAATACAATACTTTACTTATTACTGTATGTACCTGGTAACTGATAGTTAAAAAGTAAAATTTCCTCATCATGTGAATGCTGTCGTGTTGAAAGTATTCATTCAGTCATACCCATATGATGGAAATAATATGACCTTGGCCGTGAATGTAAAAGAATCTCTTTGAACAATTAAACAGTCTAATAATTATGCTGACAACAATTACACTGGCTATCGATTTTCATTTTGATAAGAGTAATTTATTGCCGCTTAATTTGTCAAATGCATTATGGGTGAATTTAATTGCGGTATGGTGTGCAGCGCTCAAATAACATTGTGATGGAAGCCATGTCTAAAAAGCAATTGAAACATCTGTAACTTTTGTTGGGTGTTTTTTTTGTGTCAAAGAATTATATGATAATGCTTTTAAGAAGTCTAAAATAGATCTCATGGAATACAGTCATGTACCTCAAATCTTCAACAATGTTAGATCATTCGGGACAGATAAGATTTCGGATGAAAGAATAATGTGTATAGCTGCAGTATCATTCGAATTTTTACCCTTAAAATGTTGTATTTGTGATCAAACATTTGTAAGACAAAATCTACGAAAAATTTATGATACACAGTTTATTTTCATTTGTTAGTAAGTGGAAGTGGATCAGTGGGCAGAGAAACGAGTGAGTTTCAGAGCCTAAAACATAAATTAAAGGAAATCGGTTAGTTATGAGTTTCGGGAATGTTTCATTACACTTCCTGGTCGTGACATCAGCACATCATTGAATTTTAAAGGTTTTCTTTAAATGCCTGAAACGTTTTGTGATTATGTCATTACATGGTCTTTTAATACATTTATCTGTCATGTTTGACTAAAGCAGGACTATATATATTGATATATATATATATATATTGCCTGCCTCTTCCTGGTTTGGGCAGTATAACTTGTGATTGTTACTGAATTTTAATGTTTGAAATAAGATAAAGGTTATAAGATACTGAAGTCATATATTCCGTACAGCCAATCAAGAGTAACAATCTTGTAATAAAATGTAAGGCTGTTTTTATAGGGATTTTTCTATTTGTGCAAAATATTTCTTTTGCAAATACAGACCCTGCAGTATATCAACACTAACCTCTTGACATACACATATAAGTAAATAGAGTTAGAACATAGGAAACACCGGAAGCTTTCCTGTAAAATGTATTAGCAGAGCAAGTATTTTTTGTGGTTTTCACATTCAAATAAAAATAATAAAGTTTTTCAATACATGTTAAAAAAACCAGTACGTTTTTGGTGCGTTCCCAATAATCATCATAATGCTTCTTTTTTTGAAAAAAATAACACATTTACAAGAAACGAGTTTTAAGGATTTTGAAGCAAACAGGTCTGTATTGATCTATAGCATTTGTTTTTTTCTGTTGATCCTAAATATAGCCAAGCTAGTCTTATTGATTGGAATCATTGAGTGATGACCAGGTTAGCTTAATTATGCTGAGTTAAAAAAAATAATATGGATGTTCATTTCTGTTCTTTACCTCTGTTGTGTTCACATTATCCTTTATTCTGGAATATTTTTTAAAAGCATAGTTGATTTCATTTTATAATTGATTAATAGTCTACAGGATAAGATTTTTTTTAAGTGTAGTGTTGATTTTAATATAACAATACATTTATATCAGAAGTCTGTCTTGTATGTTACTTCGAGCTCTGATAGACATAACCATTACGCTCAGCATTAACCTGTAGTTGTCTCTCTGCACTCTGCCACCCGAGAAAGGTAAAGGCCAAAGGATACATTTTAAATCAAATTCTTCCGTGTGTAATAGACATGAAATGGACCAGCCTGTTTGATGGCGAGGTTGTATGAAGGTCGTTTTTGATCGTGTGATAACAATCTGTTTGATACTGTGGTTATTTTTGCATCTCCAGTGGTACTATCAGAGGGAACTTTGGGTTTTTGTTTTGTACTTCCATCATGCTGTCTGTCCATCTTGTCAGGACATGTATAGGACAAGTCATACTTTTCCCCAGAAGATTTTTATTGGTGATGTTGTCGTTTACCCTTCTGGAACACTTGTTCTCATTCTCGTCCCTCTTCAAGGGTTTCTGTGTTGTTCTTTCTTTTATTTTCAGTTTGCCTGTTCTAATTTTGAATTATAGTGTTATGATAGTATTCTCAATTTTTTAAAGCTCACCAGGTCAAAAGGGCTGATGAGTTTATGCCATACTACGATAGTTATTGTCATTCATCATCCCACAACATTTCCTACAAATTTCTTTTTGCCATAAACAACTGCACTGAAGCAAGAATGCTTCTGATCAAATTTGATTAAAAGCATTCTCGAGGGAGGAAGAAGAAATTAATTTTATGAATGTTGGGTCTCGACTCTCAAGGACTCTGAGGGTTTTGGCCCAAAAGGGGATTTGGTAAGTCCTTTAAAAATTCTATTCCTCCTGTAGGAATGATTAGATCTTGCCCAAATATGGTCTTAAGCATCCTTGGGTAAATGGCAATTAATTTCGTGTAAACAGTGGGCAGGGAAATTGCATTACCCAATAGGAGGAATAGTGAAAAATTTTTGGAAACCTATTTTCCGGGTTTTGCCTCAATTTAGCCATAAGTATCCTTCGGTGGAGGAGAATTGATTGGTATAAACGATAGTTGCGCCCCCTAGCACAAGATGGGCAGGGTTCGATAGGTGGAATAGAACAAATTCTTCAAAATATTTCTTCTGACAGAATGATCTCCAAATATGATCTCAAGCATCCTTTGGCGAAGAAACTTTAGTTTGTATAAGTGGGGCATCTGACCCTCCTTGGGGCAGAGGTGTTGAGCCTAATGGTGGAAAAAGTGTTTTAAATACTTTTCCATGATTAGTATAAATGAAGTAATTTCAGCAAACTAAAACCGGGTGAGCGATACAAGCCCCCATGGACCTCTTGTTATTTCGAGTTTCCAGATTAAGGGAACAACATTCTTTGGACACTAGATAATATCTTGTTACATGTATCATTTTGCCCAAGAACCTTTTTTGTGACTTGTTTCATTAATAAAATATAAAAGCATTGCTGTAGACCTTGGAAGTTTTATTTAGAACCCCCCTCCCCCCACCTCCTTCCCAAAATAATTGGACTTGACAGTTAACATACCCATCCCACACACTTGTTTGACCAATAATGATAACTATATTTAGGAAGAAAATGGTCAATTTAGCAACCAAGGGGTGTAAGGTTTATTCGTGCAAAATGACTGCCAAGTACAAGCGCTGTGTAATAAGAAATGTATGAGTTTAGGACATGTCTTAAATAATTACAACATTGCATGCAAGTCTAACATTTAGCTTGTTTTTTTACATGTTCTAGGATTGGAATGATCTATCATTACTAAAACAGATAACCTAGTTTTACTAAGATAGTTTGTACATGTTTCCAAATTGAACAAGACAAGAATCATAGAATAATATAAATATTCACTTTATTAAATGGATATCATAGGATTCTCATCCCTAGGGATAAGATTATTTGATATCTAATCCTTAACAAGCCTCAGACTCGAACATTCAAGATTTTGAGCCCACCATCATCAGATGGAAATGAGTATTATATGAGATACAGGTTTTGATACAAACTTCATGTAGTGTGCTAGCACTTCTTCGATACTTTGATATATTTCGACTCATAAAAAAACTGAGACATATGGCGCAGAATCTGCATCGAAACTTACAAAATAATGTATCCACTTTCTGCGTATACATATGTATGAATTTGTCATTTCACAAAAGTGAGTTTGTGAACTTTTTTATATTGAAGTAATTTTATTTTTGTTACAGTTGGCCGGTCAAGTCTTCCACCAATGTAAACTGTGTGGATAGTAATGGGTACACTCCCTTACACCTGGCTGTCCTCCATGGACACAAGTAAGTTTATGGTTAATCACTGATCAGTTTCATATCCTACCTGGAATGGATTTTGCCTCACCGGTATCATTTATCATGATTATATCTTTGCATATCCTTCTGATTCTTTTGATTTATTTTCCTTAAGTTCACAACAAAACAACAAATTAAGGTACAAGACAAAAATCTTTTGAATTCAGTGTAACAGGTTATTAATAATGTCTAATAGCTTCCAAGGCATAAACTCATGTCCAAGTTATACATCATGGTAATCAGCAGGGATTTATACATATGTATGTAATTTAAGGACAGATCATTCATATTATCATCAGTTACAGATATGTAAATAAGGGCCTGATTATTCAGGTAATCATCAGTTACAGATATGTAAATGAGGGTAAGATTAGTGAGGAGATCATCAGTTACAGATATGTAAATGAGGGACAGATTAGTGAGGAGATCATCAGTTACAGATATGTAAATGAGGGTAAGATTAGTGAGGAGATCATTAGTTACAGATATGTAAATGAGGGTAAGATTAGTGAGGAGATCATCAGTTACAGATATGTAAATGAGGGACAGATTAGTGAGGAGATCATCAGTTACAGATATGTAAATGAGGGACAGATTAGTGAGGAGATCATCAGTTACAGATATGTAAATGAGAGACAGATTAGTGAGGAGATCATCAGTTACAGATATGTAAATGAGGGACAGATTAGTGAGGAGATCATCAGTTACAGATATGTAAATGATTAGTTACAGATTAGTGAGTTACAGAAGATCATCAGTTACAGATATGTAAATGAGGGACAGATTAGTGAGGAGATCATCAGTTACAGATATGTAAATGAGGGACAGATTAGTGAGGAGATCATCAGTTACAGATATGTAAATGAGGGTAAGATTAGTGAGGAGATCATCAGTTACAGATATGTAAATGAGGGTAAGATTAGTGAGGAGATAATCAGTTACAGATATGTAAATGAGAGACAGATTAGTGAGGAGATCATCAGTTACAGATATGTAAATGAGGGACAGATTAGTGAGGAGATCATCAGTTACAGATATGTAAATGAGGGACAGATTAGTGAGGAGATCATCAGTTACAGATATGTAAATGAGGGACAGATTAGTGAGGAGATCATCAGTTACAGATATGTAAATACAGATTAGTGAGGAGATCATCATCAGATATGTAAATGAGAGACAGATTAGTGAGGAGATCATCAGTTACAGATATGTAAATGAGGGACAGATTAGTGAGATCATCAGTTACAGATATGTAAATGAGAGACAGATTAGTGAGGAGATCATTAGTTACAGATATGTAAATGAGGGACAGATTAGTGAGGAGATCATCAGTTACAGATATGTTTATAAGTTTACTGTTTTTATTGACATTCAGAGTTTAAAAAAAAAAGATCTTTTTGATGTATCTTTTTCAGTTACAGTTGATAAGGGATGTCTTTTCTAAATGCATAAAAATGGTTAGATACATGCTTGATAGAAATCATTTTTGGAGCAAAATTTCATACTGAGACTTTACATCTACATATAGTAAAGGTGACAGTAGTGGACTGTAGTTTCTACAAAACAACATGGCTCCTCTTATAAATCAATATATAACGGAAATACCCAGACAATCTTCTCCACAGCCCTCCTGTGTTCCTGCCATCGCGCTATTTGTATTATTGTATATGGGCTTATCATTGACTTAACACTTTTTATTTGCCTGATGGATATAGGGGTCCTGTATTGGTACTACAAGGTTGGAGGAGAGTCCTGGGATTGTTGTATTATCATTTAAGGGCCTGAAACTACCTCGGGAATTCTATTAATACACATTTGTGTATTTCTATTTTGTATTCTTCTTCCTGGCTTAATATATGACCAGCAGCAGGGGTCGTTGTCATTTGTGATGGGCAATAATAACAGAACTTAAAGTTGTTTTAGATAGAAACATCATTTTAGTCTGAGATCAAAGACCCATTTAGAGTAAAATCCTGAAGTCATTTGGAGTATAGACACACTATGAGATGATCTGAATTAAGTCTAACCTGTGTTTAGTGTTCCAGCTAAGTTCATATTTTTAGGTTACCTGAGAGGAAGCTAAGCTAATCTTGTGGTGACTATTGCAATTGCTTATCTGGCGTAATGTATCGTAAACTTTGACATTTTGACTTCATCTTCTAAACCCCTCATCCAATCCCCAGGAAATTTTGTAGAAACCTGTCATGACCAAAAGTGAACCAAAATTGTATATTACCTGATTTTCCAGACTATGAGCTGCCCCAGAATATAAGTCACAGGGCCACTTTTTATCGGGTTTTATTCAATCTTATCCACATATAAGCTGTACTCTTCCTTACGATATGATGACCACTGTTGTCGACATTTAATATACCAGTAACAAATAACGGAAGGCAGTTTATCAAGATTTTCAGTGTAACATTTGATAAAGTTTGCTTATGAATTTTGTGCAAATAATCCTTTATTTTATGAATATATTTTAAAATTATGCTGGTCATTTAAAATACCAAAAATTGAATTTGTTTTTGGCCTTCAATGATTGCCAATGTACAGGTAGGGCCTGACGTTATGTACAGTATTGCAACCTCTCCACCAGTGTTTCTACTGTTAAATATTGATGAAGGCTATTTATGTTGATAAAGTTCCTATAAGCACATGATGTATTTTTGTATGCTGCATCAAAGTCCACTGACATCATAACAAACTTGGTGGCTATTCTAGAATTTGACCTCTTCACCCCATGACCTAGACCACATCAATTTTAAAAGTAGTTCTTTGGGAAATGTTGGAATAAAACAGGAGCAAGAGGATAGATATTTTAATATGATTTTGGTGTGAGCAGAAGTAAAATTGAACAACTATGGATCTTTGTCTCTGAAAAAGTGTACACATTGGATCATTAACATGGTTTTTGATTGTAAGTTATGTTGTTTCATGCTTGTAAGTGATTTCCTTTGTACTGGTAACATTCAAATATAATTTTTTCATTCATTTTTTCATTTTGATGAATATTTCATTTGAAAATTATAACTATTTTTCACTTCACAGTGTTTCCATGGTAATCCAAAATGGTTCACACCAGGAAAATTAAGTTATGATGGAATGATAAAATAAAACCAAATCCAAAATGACAAATATTAATAAAAATAATTTCAGGAATTCTTAAAATTCTTTAAATTCTGAATTTGTTCAAATGCATATCAGCTAGTAAAAATTTGGATGTTAGGTGGATGTGACATCATCAATATATACAGAAAATTACAAACAAGATTAATCTGTAGCATCTATATCAAGAACACTGATGCACCATTACAGCCCATATCAGGTATTTCAGTTTTAGATTTGGAGTCTATCCTAATTTCTCTTCCTTAGCTTAGGGGAAATAGTACTAAAGATGGAGATTTTATAGTGATGAAACTTTTAACATGATCCTCTTGTTGATTGTAATATATTTTATTTCAAAGTCCTTAGTATGGGATATGGCTGTTAATGTTCTGTACAGTTTACCTATAATGTAGTGTAAGTTATCTTACTTTTGTTAACAAGATGATTTCTATGACACAAGAACAACAATAACATGGTAACTCAGGTGACCATACAGTCCTTTGGGCCTCTTTTTGAAGCGTAAGTCTGTTTGGAAATCATGTCAAATTTTCTAAGAATTACAGAAATATGTATAATTCTGTTTCACTTCGAAATACTGCTCCTTTGGAAGTGGTAGATAAATGTTTATACACAGTTCTTCGAAAGGGGTCTCTTAGCCCAGGTGGTCATGTTATTGAGGTCACTCCAGCTAAGCCATTAGTTGATATTTTGTAAATCATAATAAAAAAATAACTAATTTGTCATGTAACTAATACCAGGAATCCTTGTTTGTCCTAAGTTTAACAGCATACTTTACTTAACGCTTATGTCACATTTGACTTGTCGTGTGTGTCCAGGACTACAGTTGAGATGCTGCTGTCAGCGGAGGCCGCACCCAGCCAACAAGATAACACTGGCTGTACCACCCTACATCTGGCTGCCTGGAAAGGTTATCCTGAAATCTGTGAGCTTCTGGCTAATGAGGAAGTCCCGATCAACATGCAGGTAAATAGTTATTGCTATTGTGTTTAGTTTTGTCAGGTAAATTAAGAGTTATGGCCCTTGATGTTTTCTTTAAATTTCACAATACATTACTTCAATGAATTACATATGCCCAAAAATTCAATTCATGTCAAGAATAAGGCATTGATGCACCCAATGGAGAGTCTTTATTGAGTATAGGAATTAGTTTTTTCTCCCTTTTTTTATCTTTTTTTTAATTGAGAAATAAAGTAAAAATCTTTGATAAGAATTTTTGATGACTGAAGCTATTTACTTTACAGGACAGTAATGGTGACACCGCTCTTCATTATGCTGCTCAGTATGGGTATGATACTGTGGTGGATGTCCTAATACAGGTAACACACAGGGTCAAAGTTTAAATCACACGTGAAAAGACTTACACCATTAAATATGATTTTATTAGTTTTTCTGTCAAATTATGATTATGTTTTCCCTGGAACAGGTACAGTTATTTTTTGAAATTATGACAAGTCATTCTGCTAAGATTGTTGATAACGTGTGAGATTTCTGTCAAATATGACTTTGTCTTTCAAGGAGGACAACTCTTTCTATCAAATGTAGTAATCCTATTTAGAAAGATTTATCATATTCTACTTCAGTTAGGAAAAAGTTGTTGTTGTTGTTGTTGGCATCCTTCAGTCGTCACAACTATGGATTAGCGATCTGATTGGTTGATGAGGAGCATCTCATCTGTGGCTGTAGGAAAAAGTATCTCTTGTAACACACATATAAACCATCCAGCTCTACTGATATATTGTTCAGTCCCCTTGGACCAGAGATCAGTCCAAGTTGGTCAGGATATAAAGTTTGATATATAAATTTTACACTGCTTTATTTTGTTTAATAGTACACATGTACTTAATGTTAAAACATTATGAAAGACAATATTAGATAGATTTTAAACCAGATGATGGTTAAAGTTTTACATGTGTGTAACAAATATCAGTATTTGGTATATATCTGACCAGTATGGGCATAAAAATAGGTTAAATATATTTGACCCATGACCTTGGACCAGATATTGATTGTGTGCAGTAGTAATTCTAGCTTCAGTTGTCCAGTGTCCAATTCTGTATCATTATTCAATAGAGCTGCTCTAAAGACATTCCCAACAGGTTTGAAATATCTCCTGACATAATATGTTTAATGACTGCCTCCTCGATCCAAATCTTCCTCAGTTACACCAGGACCAGAGGACCAGTTGAATCTGTCATCTACACTTGCTAACTTCATTAGACATTTACTGTACTGAACAATAAACACATGTTTGCTAAGAAAGCTATCAATGTGTCATTAGGGATTTCAACACTATATATGGTGATGACCTTCAATACCCCTTATAATACGGCTAAGATTATATGACCATGCAGGCTTATTACAGAATATGAAGTCCTAGTAAGATACGTTTTCTGTACGTTTCTCTTGTCAAACCCTTTTTGTACGAAAGACTAGATGTACTGACCATCTGAACCAAAAGTGATCACAATATGTATAAAGTATGACATCATAAAAACCAGAAAACATCTCAATCTCTGTATATAAACAAAATGCAAGGCCTTCTGGTCAGGAGTATTTGACATTGTCAGTATATTGGTAGGTAAAGGCATTGACGGTAGGTTGTATGTGACTTCAGAACAGGGTTTTATAATTGATTACACAGATATTGTTATTCAAGTTGGTATCTTATTAAATGTGTTGATTGCATGTACTTGTTGTGTGAGAAATGAACAAAGGGCCATAACTCTATATACAGTTGACAGTCATACAGTATTTCTTGATTCAACACTCTTTACCGGTCTACAAGATACTATAGAATTGTTTGTAATACACCAGACATTCCTTAGGCAAAGGGACTTACCCTGAACAAAGGGCAATAACTTTCTATATATAATTAGGTGTAAGTCTTTGTTTTCTATTGTTATGAAAGGTATGTATATGCTCATGTGATGAAGAATGAAACTGTAACACTCAGGTAACATAAAATTATGATTATGTGTAGTATGAATCATCATCTAGAAGATTTTAGCATATGACACCACACTAAATACTTATCACTGACATTGTACAAGTGTGATTGAGTGGTTATATAAGACATCCCTAATAGAGTGATACAATGAAAACAACAACTGGTAGATGGACAGTTCTTCAACAGAGAGTATTATAATTATATATTAGAGAAGTTTAATTTGTTCTGTCCTCCATCCTGTCTTTTTCATCTATTACAGCACAACGCAGATCCAGCCTTCCGTAACCTAAAACAGGAGTCAGCTCTTGACCTCGCCTCACAATATGGCCATGTAGAGGTGGTCAGTCTCCTGGTAGAGAAATTCCCTTACTTGTCCCAACGACTCATTCCAAACAGGTCACCTCTGCATTTGGCCGCAGCTTGTGGCCATAGAAAAATTGTGGAAATTCTGTTAGATGCTGGTTTTGATATCAACACAAAGGTACAATAAAGGATGACTTTTAAATGATGTATTTTCTGAAAATGAAAAAAAAAAAGTAAAATAAACTCAATACATGTTTTTAGACGTAGTGCCACTTTTGATCAACATCTATGAAAATAAAAAGTTTCTAACTCTTAAACGATTAGCATACTTAACAACCATCAGATATTTCAAATAAACATTTTATTTGGTATGTAGGCAGGATTTTATTCAATCTCTCTTCCGTCAAACAATATTGTGTTATTTTTGTTTCTTGAAGATAACTTAACATTGTTATGAAATTTTTTTCTGACCACTATGGTGTAATGTTTTCATCATGAAATGAACAAAAGGATTTCTTATATCTCTGCGTTGTGTTGATTTGCCTTCAGACTGATAACGGGACTGCTCTCCATGTGGCTGTGATGTATTTCAAACCTGAAATTGTCTCTGTTCTATTAGAGAGAGGTAAGGTTATGTGGGACCCTCATGTTACTAAAATGTTTCTAATGAGCATCAGGCTGGATTTAAAAGATCAAACATCTGATGAGGATATTTGTAGTTTTGTTTATAATTCTCTCACTGCTTGATGTACATGTTTGATGGGCTATTACCTCCTGAATGAGGTAGATACATTAACTATTTAATGGAACTGTATTTACTTTTTTGTTTAGTTTAACCTTTCAAAGAAAAATATTTAACATAAAATCAGAGATAAAACAAGAACCAATTGAATAAAGAGAAAAAGACGGCAGTATTCAAGCAAACTTTGTGATGTCATGTATTGTCTGGGAATATAAAAAGCTTTGTGATGATCAAGTTAAATTTCATTGTATTAAACACTTAGGCAACCAAGAATCAATTTCCAGGAGAAACGTTGATGGTGATTTCTACCTACTTGGGGCAACACATTACCTATAGTCATTATTACCAGACACTGAAATACTATTTGGTAGTTATTCTGAATAGCAACTGATATGTATGGGCTTATTAACAAGCATGTAATATGATAACATATTTCCTCTGTGTTGTGGTACAGGTACTGACTTGATGGGCGTCGACAGGAATGGTCACACAGCACAGGACATTGCCGCCCAGAGTGGGGGAAATACCTCCAAAGTCAGCCTCGTCATTCAAGGTCAGTTATTGATCCGATCCAATAAATCGCTAGTCAGGCATATTATAACCAAGTCTGAACCCTTATTTCTGAATTGTAAGAAAATTCATAACTACTTATTATGTAAATGATGAAATTTTAGGGTAGAAAGCTGCCTGGTAGATAGGGTATAAAACTTGTACTTACTGCCTCCATTGCATTGAAGAAGCTAAATTTGTAATCTGATCTTTTCTTTCTAAGTTTCATTTATGCCTTGCTTGACAGTGCCTGACTTTTTACCTTTAATTACCCCTGTGATAAAGGATTTGGGGTCTACCCCCAGACTGAGACATACCCAAGTCTTGGAACATAATGCTCTGCAGGATGATAGTGTAACAAGTGTTTTGCTACCGTAAATTTGCGGGTATAGTGCGCACTCAGGTATAGTGCGCAGGTACATTTTTGGGGTCAGATTAAAAAAAAAACAAATCTACAGAAAAATTAATTGATTACTGGTTACCGCGATGAAACAGTTGTGGTTTGATCCATTGATAATTAGGAAACCACAATCATCGTGACCCTAACATATTTAATTACCTTATATAAACAAATTCACACAGGTGCCTGACTCAACAAGCATGAAAGGCTGGCCAATTGGATAATTAACGGTTCTTAACAGGTAACAAACACGTTGAGTAGGAGGAGATTGATGTCACCCGGCTTTGTCTGAATGCGTACTATTGCTCAGTAAACGATGTTGTTTTAACTGTCTGAAAAGTTTCAATCATACCTTGTCCCCATATCTGTACCTACCGCGGTATCCGAAGGTACTTAATTATAGATTGTTTACACCAACTTCGACATGGGGAAACTGAACGCCATTTGACTACGCCGAGAGACTTGAGTTTCGTGCCGCCGGTCGCCACTTCGACATTCCAGAGTGAAATATCAAAGCACGGAAGAAAGAAAAGACCGTCTAAAGTCCCAACCACTGACCAGAAGGGCTGACATAGGTGCGACAGCGAAACACCCAGAGATGGAGAGAGAGCTGTTCAACTTTGTATGCGATCGCCGTGATCCCGGCATCGCTGCCAGTACAACAGAACTGCGCATGCGGGTCATGCAAATCAAGAGAGGTCATGGGGTCATGGTAATTGTTGTTGTGTCCAGTTGGATTACCCTGCTGTGTTAGCACTATGAATTTAACTTTGGTGTCACCTTTTCTTGTTTATGTATTTCAAGATTTAGTCCATTTGAGATTTTCATTTTTCAGAGTACATCCAGAAATTGCAGGACCTCCAGAAAGCCATGACACAGGAAGTGGGCTATGTACGTGTGGATGAAATAGACCAGAAGGGTTCCTCCCCTTCCCCTGAAGAGGAACAGCCATCTCTAGAAGAGGAACACCTGTCATCGAAAGAGGGAGGCCCATCACCTCGTCCCCGTATACCACGCAGCACTAACAGTTCCGAGATTGAGGACTTGTACTCGAAACCCAGCAAACGTGATCCCTCACGGACCAAAAAGTAAGGAACTACACAACTGGCTGTGGAAAATGTAATACTTATGTAGGATCCTACAGGAGTATCCAGTTGATATTGGATTTTTTTTATATGAGGCGAAAAATTTAAGGCTCACAAAAAATTAAAAAAAAAAAATTAAAAATAAAAGTTATGAGTTTCAAGTGAATATGAAATGAAAACAAATTTAAGATTTTCTTTGTGATATGAACAAATGTTCTAGAAAACAGACATTTCAATGTCATAATGAAGTCATGACTGCTGTTTATCTATGGTCTCTTATTCTATGTCACATTGCCATCTGTGAGTGTGTGACATCATTTAAGTATCTAAAGTATTGACATCACAATATGTTATAAACAATATGTGTAATGATTATAGTATATTACATAGGTATATATAGGATATGTAGAAAGCGGTACAAAATATTTTGATCTTTTAGGTTTATAGTAATTGAACTAACAGAAATGTTGGAACCATATTAGTGTGTGAGAAGTCAGGCATTGGGGATAGGAGATGGTTTCACTAGGATTAATCAGTCAAAAGATGTTCACAGTTGTAAAAAGTCAGTAAGGGAGTTACTGCCCTTTGTTTGAGAAAATTTGATGTCTCAGTTTGTGATTCAGTGATGCTGTGATTTATTTTGCTGACAAATGAAAATGTAGATGCTGAAGAGCAAAGTTGATGAGGAAAAAAAAGTGTTGAAACATTAAAAAAGACCTGTCTTAATTAATTCATTGATTATTTGTTCTGACAGGATGGAAGAACCTGAGACAGACCTTGGAAATGAATTATCTCCCCCTCCCATTCCAGCCCGAACTGCATCTTTACTGGACGAAATGGTCAAACATTTACCCTCTATTGCTGGACTAGTTAAGGACACCCCACCCCCACCAGCTCCCTTCCATCCCGCTTCTCATCAGACCATGATGACACCACCTAAAACCACTCTGCCTGAGTGGCAAAGAGATATACCTCCTCGTCCTTCTTGGGAAAATGTGCGTCCCCCTGCAGCTAAACCGCGACATAATTCTGGCGGAGACAAAAAGTCTGTCATAAGAGAGCGACGACCCTCAGATGGAAATTATCCTTACTTCAATGTCAGTGAGGTCGGTGGCCCAAAGAGGGATTACATTAATATAGGTGAAGTTAGCAGTCTTGATGAGCTTGCCCCACCACGAGCTTGTCCAGGGGAATCCTCCACTGTGCATGGTAAGAAGGGAATTTCAATACTGTTGTGAAAAAATGTTAGGGTTTTTTTTTGTTATTGAATTTATTCATAATTTCAAAATGTTCCAGTTTGGTTTTCCCCAGAAATCTGGACTTTTTAAAATTGTAGAAAAATGAATCATTTGCAAAAAAATATGTTTTAAGGGTCAGCTATGAAATATTTGCATGTTTAATCTGTTTTGTTAAGGTTTATGTGATTGAAATCTGAACTAATCATAGGAAATATAGGAAAATATAACTAATCTGCTGAAAGGCCAAATTCATATTTACTTTTCAAAAAGTATTTAACCTGTGCTTACAGAACTGGCTTTGTGTTAATTTTTCCTGTTAAATATTTATGATATATTGTTTAGTTTCAGTTGGTTCCTTATCAGGAAGTGGAGAAAATTTGTCTGCAACCTCCAAGTCAATGAGAAAGGTATGATCAAGCTTGATGTTATAAAATGACTAACGAAACAACAACCAAAGAGTTAGTTTTAAAAGGGTACTCACATTCACTGCACATAATCTATAATTTCAAAGTGTTGATGAAGAGGTGAGGCCAGCCAAACACTTGCATGTATTATGAATGGTGTCATTATATGGCAAATAATATGGACTATAGGGCTGTATGAAACGTTCGAAAGTACCTGCAGCATATGTCATGACTCTGGTGGAGCCTACGATGGATTGGAGCTGTGCTTCATTGAAGTTAGTTAGTTGAAAGTGATGCAGGGAGTGAATCACATCCTAGAAATCACATGGTCACAACTCATAGTATAGAAATGTAGATGTCTGACGTAGCATTGGTCAGTTGGACAAATACGGTTAGGTGATTGACCTAGCTCTGGTTACAGCTAGGCTAGATAACACCTTCATCTCAGGGAGTTATCATGTACTATCTGTAAGAAACACATGTCAATACTGAACACTTTGGTGGTTAGAGCATTATCAAAACTACTCTATTTGTCTGGGGTGTCACTCATACTTGATAAAAGATAAAAAGACCTGTGTACATTTTTGTTGTCAAGTTAACTATCTTTTAAATAACTAAAACTTCAATAAAAAAAAGACTGTGTACCAGTATTTGAAATCTTTGATAAAAATCCTTTAAGAATTAATATTGGGATAACTTTGAATGCCAATTCAAGCAGAATTTACTGTATTTGTGCGTTTTTTTTGTTTTTGTTTAAATTAGTCCATGTCTGTTAATAAGTTCATAAGGATATATCGTTGTTCTGTGGAATGATAGCCAATGTTTGTTTATTGTCCTGTAAAAATCCCACACCTTGAACACACTGTAATGAGATGCCTCCCACCCTCAATTTTGATTTAGAGATAATTTTTTATTACTTTCAGACTCCACCGCAGAAACCAAAAAGATCCAAACCACCAACGTCTTCTAGTCCTGGTTCTAAGCATAGTCCTCAAGGCCATCAAAATAGATCGCCTGGTCCACCACGACAAGATATTCCACCTATTCCAGGAAACGAGGAGCCCATCATGGATTATCTCCCCTTAAAGAAACCACAGGAGAATAAAACAATGTCAGAGAAAAAATTGTCCGAGGATTATATGAAAATGGCTGATGCTAAAAAAGAGCAGACAGAGGATTATATGAAAATGACTGATGCTAAAAAAGAGCAGTTGGAGGATTATATGAAAATGACTGATGCTAAAAAAGAGCAGTTGGAGGATTATATGAAAATGACTGATGCTAAAAAAGAGCAGTTGGAGGATTACATGAAAATGATGAATATTAAGAAAGAAAAATTATGTGATAAGGAAGCACCAAGTGAGGACTATATGAAAATGTCAAGTGTTGGCAAAGAGAAAAATGAATTAACAGACAGTGGGATAGGCTGTTCGAAAATAAATGAATTGAAGTCCGGTGAAAAGACAGACTATGTTAGAATGAGTGATGTTAAAGAGGATGAGGATGATGCTTACAAGGATATGTACAAGATCCTTAATCTTAACCGTGACAGAGTTTTATCAGCAAGTGAGAGCAGGTCATCGAAATCTAACAGCTCCAATATTACTGAAACCAATCTGGATAGGAACAGGAATGATTCGTCAGCGTCGTCTTCATCCTCCGAAGATCTTTTATCTAGTGACTCTTCTGGAGAGTTATATATAAACCGTCCGTCACCAATGGACGTGGAAGTTTTTACCAGTAGTCATACCGGTAGTAAGAAAGTTGTACTTGAGAATATTCCAGATATACCTATTCCACGTCGACCAATTAAGCAACCAAAGACTTTGCCGGAGCAACCTCCAGACTTACCTGTAAAAACTCGAGCCTCACAACGGCAAAGCTCCAAAAAGGATCATTCCAATTCTGAGAAAAAGAGGAGAAGTTGTTATGATAATGTTAAGACTGAAGAAACAGTTGTGACAACAGATAGTAAGGGAGATAACTCTAACTGTGATCAAAGTTTCTGTGATAAAAACAAAGAAAGCGTTGTGATAGAGAAGACTTTAAGTGACATTGTTGAGTCCAGACTTTCTGATGAGTTGTTACCAGATAGTAAACGTCTGTCTAATGGTGTTCATCATGTGGAAGATCAACATGAAATCAAACGTACGTTAATCATAATTATTAACATATATTGCAATTGGTTGTAATAACCAATTTTCTTTTAAAAATATTTTGTCTTAACCTGTAGATGTTTACTGTATATGATTACAACATATGACAATAAAAAGTGTCCATTTTCTTTATTCTGGAATTTCAAAGCAGCCTGTTATTGTGAAAATTGAGAAATACTGACAAATTTTCTAGTAAATTCAGATGATATTCTAGAGTTTACTCTGTTTTTGGAAAATAACACATTGTTTACCTTATTCCAGCTGTTGAACAAGGCAAAACTTACAATTCTCTAATTTCCACTGATAGTTTGGAAAATTTTCATTTGTTAACTGATTACTAGATTTTGTATTAGCGCTAAAAATGATTAATTTTCACCCATCCATTTCAGATTTGGGAGAAGGAAAGTTAACTAAACCTCCTTCTCTGGAGTTTGAGAAAAAGAGGTTGAAACGTGAGGAGATACCCCTCACTCCCACTGGCTACCCACAACCAGCCACGCCCGACTTCCCACCACCCTCACCCAACACTGCCATGCAGGGCATACAGGAGAAAATGGCTGGCATTGATGTAGGTGTTCACCAGACAGGATCACTTGATTCAGATTATCTTTACATTATCAATATCATTACCTATACTGTGATATGCCCATGCCTTGTGATAAGTCAACGTGTATCTACCATTATTTCTTGTAAGATCTTAAATTAGAAACTTTTTCAGTATTTTGTAGAAGTAATTTTTAAAGCCTGTCAAAATGGATTGCCCGCAATATACCTGTACATGTTTATGTGTGTGTGTACTGATTGTATACCTGTACATGTTTATGTGTGTACTGATTGTATACCTGTACATGTTTATGTGTGTACTGATTGTATACCTGTACATGTTTATATGTGTGTGTACTGATTGTATACCTGTACATGTTTATATGTGTGTGTACTGATTGTATACCTGTACATGTTTATGTGTGTGTACTGATTGTATACCTGTACATGTTTATATGTGTGTACTGATTGTATACCTGTACATGTTTATATGTGTGTACTGATTGTATACCTGTACATGTTTATGTGTGTGTACTGATTGTATACCTGTACATGTTTATGTGTGTGTACTGATTGTATATATGTGTGTACTGATTGTATACCTGTACATGTTTATATGTGTGTACTGATTGTATACCTGTACATGTTTATATATGTGTGTACTGATTGCATACCTGTACATGTTTATGTGTGTACTGATTGTATACCTGTACATGTTTATGTGTGTGTACTGATTGTAAACCTGTACATGTTTATGTGTGTGTACTGATTGTATACCTGTACATGTTTATGTGTGTGTACTGATTGTATACCTGTACATGTTTATATGTGTGTGTACTGATTGTATACCTGTACATGTGTGTGTACTGATTGTATACCTGTACATGTGTGTGTGTGTACTGATTGTATACCTGTACATGTTTATATGTGTGTGTACTGATTGTATACCTGTACATGTGTGTGTGTGTGTACTGATTGTATACCTGTACACGTTTATGTGTGTACTGATTGTATACCTGTACATGTTTATATGTGTGTACTGATTGCAGTACAGGTATTGTCAAAGTTAATACCCAGATGTATCTGTTGATGCCTGATTTGTTGATCAGTAACCAATTATTAATTGCTGCGTGGAATTTGCTGTGGGGACTGCGAGATGTGATTTTCTACAATCTAAATGAGACATTAAAGAATTTTGTTAAAACAAACACCCTTCCAAAATTTAATTAATTGATGAGCAACCAATATTAGTCAGAATTTTTAATCGTCTCACACTTAAGATAATTACCCAGTCGTTGTAGTTTTATTTTGTAAAACAGATATATATTCTTGCTCGTACAGTGGAAAACTGGACAAAGGGAGACAAATCTAGTAGTAGAAATTTAGTTTTTAAGAAAATTAATCTCAATCATTAACCATTTTAGTGTTTGATATTCTGAATTTGGAGAAAAATCTGCCTGAAAATCAGAACTTGGACTTGCTATCATGTATCCAGAATAAAATTAATCTTTATGATTATGTATTGCAGAGTAAGCGGTCTTCTCGTGACATGGAAACCATTACAGAAACCGTGTACCTCCGAGATCCAACTGAACAGCCATCATCTGCAGTAAACATTCCAAAAGCAGACACCACTTCTGGTGCAAATGACATTCCAATTGTGGACGATGTGTCATCTATTTCCTCATCTGGTGATGATGTAAATCTTAAGAAAGTTGATGAAGGTTTACCGAGCGGGCCATCAGGAGACCACACGGAATTCCATGCTTCACCAGTGGTAATGAGGCGGAGTAGACATTCCAAGATACAACCTCCAGAGGGCGCTGCCGAGATGAGACGTAGTACAGGAAGTGCCAGCAGCAGCAGTCAAGAGGATCTGGTTCGGGAAGACGAGCTCGGACCACTTGCAGGTAAGAGTTATCGAGATGGATATACATTACTGAATAGCATAATTTCATCACATATTCTAATACTTGCATAGAAGAAACACAGAAGTGTTGCATCTTTTTGGGAATTCAATATACAATAGTTTACTAGATATTGTCATACAGTATTGGAACCATAACATCCTACAAAAATAAAGTCACTCAAGTCAACTTGTATACTGCAGAATCATCCATTTTTGTGGGGGATTTATTTTCATTGATTGTGTGGGCACTCTTGGTACACAAATTTATATATCCATGTTCAAATAAGTATAAGTAAGTTAATTGAGCTCTATTTATCCACGAAATTACGTCCCGACGAAATATAATTTCTTGAAAAACCATGAAAATTGATTCCAATGAAGTTATATGATCTTAGGGGAACAGAAATGAAGTATTTCTTGTTGAATATGTGAGGATCCTAAGTATTTCAGCCCTAACCAACTAGATTTTGGATGGATATGTGTATCACCAATATTGTATGCTAGAGATACTACCACAACTGTGATATGTGTTAATGTATCAATATGTTTATCTTTTGATATACAGATAGATTTTTTTTTCATCAGTAACAGCTCTACTGTAAACAAATAGTATCGCTGTAACATCAGGAATGTTATGAAATATTAATGTATATATATTGTATCATATACATTTAGGTCTAACAAATTCAAAATCTCATCATTATTGACTGCCACATTTTTCAGTGTTCATTTCCAACAGGTTCCAATATGTTAAAGGAAGTAAACTACATACACCTGTATTTTCAGAATTTTTACCCCAGTGATTTGAGTTTTACATAAGTGCCCTGTTACAAGACCAAAACGCCTCAACTATTAACATATCTTGTAACTATTTATAGTTAAAATGAAGTATATATGTGTCAAGTTTGACATCTTGTGTTAACATATATATGTAAAAAATTCTGTCATTCATGGGTCTATGAAGTGTTGTTCTTTTACAGAAATTATTTTAGGTTTCTACCTGTCATTTCATTGTTCATGGGCTGATGAAGTGACGTTTCTTTACAGAAGCTACTTTAGGTTTCTACCTGTCATTTCATTGTTCATGGGCTGATGAAGTGACGTTTCTATACAGAAGCTACTTTACGGTTCTACCAGTCATTTCATCATTCATGGGCTGATGAAGTGAAATTTCACTAAGAAGCTACTTTAGGGTTCTATTTGCCATTTCATCATTCATGGGCTGATGAAGTGAAGTTTTCTCTATAGATTTTTTTTAAGGTTCCAACTGTTACAGTTGATATCATCAGTATAAAATCCCTATAAAAAGTAAAAATGCCTGACATTATTTTGATGACACAAAGAATATTTATACAAAGAGTTGGGGGGAGGTTTTTAGAATTAATTATAATTAGTATGGGGATTATTAATTGGATTAAGTTTAACAATGGGGGATATATATCACCCCAGATGTTGTAGGGGGTTTGATGTTGTAGGACTGATAAGATCAAATTAGGTAATGGCTAATGTTAAAGTAGAAACATATGGTAACAGTAGTGCTGATGATGATAGAGGGAAGGATACACAGAATGAAAGATATAGTCATTGTTCTGTAGATACTGTCACCATCTTAGAATTGTTACTACAATACTAACCAATACTTTAGTACAGTTTTTATATGGGTACCTCATGAAGAGGTCGGATTGGGTTGAGTGGGGTGTGTATGAGATTATAGCCTAGTGTTTCTGGATTTTAAGGTCAGGTTCAGTCATGTTTATAAAACTCTTATGAAAACAATGATACAGATTTGTAGTCAAGGACATTCGGGTCTCACAGATATTCTCTAATTTAGAATGAAGGGTATTGTGTTTCTAAATAGATATATACTTTTAGCTTATACTACTATCACTTTAATTGGCCCTAATTGTCTGTGGTACAGCACGTCATGGCTACAGTGTAATGATTGGTTATGGAGGAGATATACATCAAGATAGAACAATTAAATCATTAATTAACTCATCACCTTGGTAATCAGAATATTTACATTTAACTCTGATAGAAGGATCAGAAATAATAGATATGGTAGCAAAATGGCCAGCTCAAAAAACATCCAGAAAATCAGTCGGAGTCAGTTTGGTAATTATCAAAGTTCGGACGGATTATCATATTTGAATAAAAAATTGTAATAAAACAGATTACCATATTTAACCTGTATTAAGCCCAAGGAGTCAACTAAGTCTGACTAAACTCTGAGGATGGGTTTATTGAAAGACAATTGAAAAACAATTGTTTGTATTGGTATTAAGGAGCAGTAGGTCTTTATAGGTGAGTTTATAACCAGGTACGGGGTTATTACTGGATAACTACAAGTCCAAGATGAAGTGACAGTTTATCGAACCTACAGATTAAGGAACACCAGTAGCTATTGGTTGGAGTCTGGTTCGTCACTCTGCTACATTTGGTGTATTTGAATCTTTGTTTTTTCTACAATTAATAACAGCTGATTTTGACTTTGCCTACGGAAGCTGCTCTTGGCACTGGAACATCTTCTGCCGTTTGTAAGTCACTTGACCTGTTTTTTCAATTCACTGTTGTGACACCAGTATGAAAATGCATTTACACGTGTATGGAACATTTTTTTGGTATGTGTGAGGCATTTGTAGTTTATTTCACATCATTGTCAGTAGCATGTTGAGTTTGTTTTTGAATTCTGTGAAAATGTTCAATTTTGATATATTGTAATAGATTGCATCAACGATTGATGTTCGCTGATGTGTTTCTGACAATATGACATTTTAATGTTTTTCTTGTTGCATGTTAACATTAGTACCGTTGCATCTTTGTAATTAATTACGACAATTTTACTAATAGTACTTGTCAGTATGAAGATTAAGGTAGTTTTGAAGTGTTCAGATCTTGATACCTTAATCTTCATACTGACAATTCAGTAAAAATTTTAAATTTATTTCCATTCTTCTTGACTTGATAGAGACCTATGAATCAAGGTCAACACCTGATGATTTGACAGAGTCTACTAATCTCAGTTACAAGGTTAATGTACTGTTTACTTGTAAAAATTATCAAATATTCTTAAGACAAGATGGTGTCCATTTAAAGCTTAAGACCTTGGACAAATACGACTGTAGAGCTAATTTTCACACTTATACCTTATATGTTTTCAATAAAAATAAATCTTACTGGCTGGGATTTTGGATAGATAACTCAGTTTTATGTCACCTACACATTTATCTGCAAAATGTAAATATATAAAATTTGAGTTGAAAATTGGAAATCTTTCCCCAAGTGTGACCAAGTATTGCATTTTGATGTAAATAAAAGACTGGTTTTTTTAATTGATTTATGTTTTACATTTGATTAGATATGTTGACTTTATATAGATATATGTACACACATACAGTTAAATGTGTCAGCTTGATGGTGACCTATGTATACCCACACACATAATGAGATAAATGAACAGATATACCATTGATGTAACTGAGAAGATACCAGGATGCTCCCACACAGAATTAGTTTCTAATGTTTTTTACGAGCTCAATTGCTGGTAAATCGGAACACCCAGTCTGAGATTCTTTTTTTCGTTATCACATCAGATACATTTGCTGATGGAATGTAGAAATATACAACCCCTAACTAAGGCTTTTCCTGTTTAAATCTTGTATGTTATATATTAGAGGGGGATGGCCGCAGCATTAGAGTGAGTCTGTAACAAATAAACAAAGGCTCTTTACTCAAACAACAATGGGCAGGAAATGAGTCTAAGTGTTCTTGTCATGTACAAGCTCAAAGTAAAAGATATTGACTTGCTAAGTGTATTGTTGTATGTGTACTAGCATGTTTTTTGTTGTGTTTGTGATGTGTGCATGTAGATTTCCTTTAAAGTGAGTTGTAAGTTTTTTGTCCAAGAGCTAATTTAAGGTGGGATTTTTATGAGAGCAGAATCATGACGTCGGACATTTTCACTGATATGGAGAGGCTGGACAGGTTAGAACAAGCTCTAGCGGGTAAGAGACTAAATCTCTATGGACATAATGTCGTATGTTGTAGGTAGGGTAAGTCACATGTCATGTATCACAAACTGAACATAATGGTGTGTGTCAGGTTAAGTGAGATGTCATTTGTCACAATTCAGGCAAAATGTCATATGTCACATACAGGGCACACTGTGTCATATATGAGGTACTCAGGGAATGTCATATGTCAGTGATTTAGCACAAAGTCATGTCACATGCTGGGCATAATGTCATATGTCAAGTTGAATGCAATGTTATCTATTAAAGACTGGATGCATGATGTCATATGTTTCAAACTTAACAGAATGTCATATGTCAAGCATTACTGGTGTCAATTGCCACAAACCTGTCACATGTCGTATGACAGGGCTTTAAAGGTATGACAGGGCTTTAAAGGTATGACAGGGCTTTAAAGGTATGACATATTAGGCAGTGGATTCAACATCTTATTTTGCATGCATAGAAAAATGTTATACGTCACATGTTACGTGCCATTTATTTACAGAGACTCGGAATGTCATATATCAGAAACTAAGGATATGTTTTTATATGACAGGTACAGTGTTGTATGTCACAGGATAGGTGTAATTTTGTATATTAGAGATTAGGTTAATAGGCTTAACGTCACATGTCAGGGAATGAGTTCAACATCATGTATATGTCACAACGTCATTTTAAAGGATAGATGCATTGCTGCTGTACATGTACATTGTTCATGTCGTTTTGTCACAATTATGTCAAATTGTAGTGGTAGGAAATAGGAATATTTTTTTACAGTCAAAATATATAAAGCATTTTTATATTTTGAAATTTTGTTTATTTTATGTTACGTTTGCATTAAGAAAAGAAGTGAAGTAGATGTATGATGTGTTGCGTATTTACGGTAAATCGTCTTCACACATAAAATTTCCTAATTAGGTTGCTCAAAGTTTAGAAAAAGTATGAAAGTTACGAATTTTTTGGATTGGGAAGTAAACTACCTGAGGTA